GACAGTGTTTTGAGCATTAGAATCGTTGGCTGTGGTGACACTTGAGGAGGAAGCTAATAGAGGAAGTTTAGTGTATAAAGTCGATGTAGGAGGAATAATAGGAATTGAAGAGGGAGGTTGACTATGAATACAGTGGTCTTGAGTGCTGTTAGAGGTATGAGGGCGGTTATCACTTCCCGGTTGCCCACACCGTGGAAGGGTTCTTCTGGAGGTACCTGAAAAGGAAATTGGATTAGAGTTGGTCATTGTGACCTGAGAGCGTGACCGCAGTGCCCAAGGGACAGCTGCTTGAGGTCGGTCACACACGACCTTTTTATGAGTGATTTTTGTGTTAGCTCCGTACTTGTTGAGTCCTTACCGCCGGAGACGGATATCCGTGGGATAAGGCGAGGTGTGCATTTTTAGGGTCGACCTTTTCTAACCCCACCCCTCCTTGTGGGAAGGCAGCATCGCTGTCATGCTGGTTGTCTGAAGGAAACACCTTACTGCTGTCACACCTCTGTACAGTCAGCAGTACGACTTCGCCTTCGGACCTTGGTTTTGTTGCTTTTAGTCTTACCGCTCTTCAACCGACCTGTCTGGCATGGTAGGACCTTGAGGAACGGTTGTTCCAGCCAGTATAGCTCAGTTGCTTCATCACGATAGGCAAGCCCGACCACCACGTCAAGGTAGCAACAACGGTCAGGAGATAATCCTCAGCAATAAGTTCAAAACCTTGCAAGAACTTCTAGAAAAAAAAAAACCGCTATAAGGAACAATTGAAGAGGAATTAAAGAAGTAACCTTAACATGGCAGGACGTTCTGGGCCTCAATAAGCTCCAGAATTAGGAATAGATATGCGTAAACAACCTCAGCAAAATTTAGGAGAGGAAAATAAGACACCAATCAACAAGAGCCGAACAAAAGCAGGGTTCAGGGCATAGGCCGAATATACAGAAAAACACGAACGAGTGAAGAGTATTAGAACCAGTCAGCAAAAATATGTAAGACACAGCAATTACAGCGCAAAAAAGTTGTAAGAGAAGGAAGTGTGAGGATATGGTATAACCAAGATTAACAGAGAAATAATGTAAATCAGAGCGACGAGTCGGCAACAAAGAAGGCACACCAATTACCTAAGTTCGAGAGCAGAGGAACAGATAGGTAAATCACACATATGCATCGGTCCAAGTTGCCATACCTCATTAGCACAACAAGATGAACAACGAATTCATAGAAGTACTTAGTTCAATAGTGGTAATAAATAAAGGAAAGATTGCATATAAGGATGTAGTACAGGAAGAAAGAATTAGTTCGTAGAAAGAAAGATATAAAGCAATTTTAATCTTACAGTTTAAGGGAAGACAAAGAGTGTATACATCTATGCCATTGTGATCGATTCTCAACCATAGCACCCAGGGTCACCAATCATTGGTTACGATAGTCATGCGGACTACAATCAAGTAGTCTGCATCTACCAACATGGCTCACACCAGAAGTAAGGGACTTCAAGCACTGATGCCACGTTTTGGTTTGGCCACCCCTAACTTTCTTCCAACCATCCCCAACACCAGTTAGCATTGCGCGTCGTGGTAAACGGTGTTCACGCATACATAACACGTGGCCCGACCATCTCAGTCGATGAAGATTCACAACTTCATTAACTGATTTACCATCATTCACTAATACCCTACGTCTAACCTCACTATTACCTACCCAGTGATCCAAGCAGCTGCGAGCAATATTTCTAAGGCATCTGTGATCAAACACTAGTAACTTACGAATATCATCCACCCTTAGTGACCACGTTTCGCAGTCGCAAAGTAAAGCAGAACGAACTGCTGAGCAGTATACTCGCGTCCCTTAATTGGTAGACGGATATCTCGCCTTCGCCATAGATGACATAAGTTGACAAAAGCCAGACGAGCTTTCTGAATCCGCGCTGAGATTTCGTCAGACACCAACCCATTTGGACTGATCAGACTTCCAAAATAAGTGTTGTCAACGCGTTCGACTACTTCACTTCCTATCCTTACTTCAGGTGTTGACTCAGGCCAGTCCGGAAGCAACAGCTTGCATTTAGAGGGGAGAAACGCATCCCAGACATCCTGGCATTTTTGCTCAGTGAGTCCAAAAGACTGAATTTTATCAGCGTCTTCACCAAATAGGACTACGTCATCTGTGTATTCTAAGTCGATAACTGGACCTTCTGGTAGGAGATCAGTTCCTGGAAATTCAGTCGACGACAGCGTTATTTCTAGCGGTAGGTTTATAATGAATTTGAACAAAAATGGAGATAGTGGATAGCCTTGACAGACACCATTTGAGGTTGCAAAATCAGATAACAGTTAGCCATAAGCTCTCACTAGATTAGTAGTGTTCGAGTAAAGAGCCTTCACATGGTTTATGTACTTCTGAGGTAAGCCTTTCAATGACAGGCACTACCACAGAACCTCTCGGTCTACAGAGTCAAATGCTGCCTTTAAGTCAAGGAAGACCACCATTGTCGGACGCCGATAAGCATGCCTGTGTTCAAAAACCTGACGAATGGTGAATATGTGGTCGATGCAGCCACAACCAGGTCTGAAGCCAGCCTGATTTTCTCGTGTTTGCAGTTCACGAGTCTTAGTTAGGACCCCGATAATTATTGAGGCTAGTATTTTAGATACTATATTAGTCAAACTAATTCCTTTATGTGTCACAGGATGACTTTGACCCCTTCTTATACGTTGGGACAATAAATGATTGCGGACAGTCAGATGGGATTACGTCCAACTCCCAGATCTTAGCTAAAATATTAGTCAACCTAATCACTAAAACTTGACCACCATACTTCCCGACCGTAGCTGCTACTTTGACGTGGTGGTCGGGCTTGCCTATCGTGATGACCCAAACGAGCTATATTGGCTGGAACACATGTTCCTGCAGGTTCTACCATTCCAGGCAGGTCGATTGGAGAACGGTAAGACTAAAAGAAGCAACTGAAGGTCTGAGGGCGAAATCGCACTGCTGACTGTACAGAGGTGTGACAGCAGTAAGGTGTTTCCCTTGGACAACCAGCATCTGCAGCGATGCTGCCTTATCACAAGGAAGGAAGGGGTTAGAAAAGGTTGACCCTAAAAATGTCACACCTCACCTTACCCCACGGATTTCCGTCTCCGGCGGTAAGGCCCTTTGAAGAACGGAGCTAACACATTAAAAACCTCCCACAAAAAGGCCGTGCGCGACCGGCCTCAAGCAGTTGTCCCTTGGGTTCTGCGGTCACGCACTCAGGTCGCTAAGACCAACACTAATGCGATTTCATTTTCAGGTCCCTCAAGAAATACCCTTCGACGGTGTGGGCAACCGGGAAGTGATATCAGCCCTCATACCCGTAACAGCACACGAAACCAAGTTGGTCACATTCAAATCCTTCCTACACCTCCTAATAACGCTCTTATCTCCACGACTAACCCTTCTTACGTCCCTTTATCAACTCGCCCCGCTAGTGCGAACGATTCGAGTACGCGGATTGTTATTCCTGGTCTCCTGAAACCACGATCCGAACTACACGTAGGAGCTTTCAACGTACGAACACTGTGCCAAATAGGACAACAGGCTTCCTTAGCTAAGACTTTAGAATCTCGCTCCATCGATGTGTGCTGCGTCTCCGAAACGCGCACACAGGATCCAAGTAGTGTCATTCATTTGACCTCACCATATCAAGGTAACGAACCAACTCGATTTACACTTCGTGTGTCTGGAAGCCCTGATGCTGCTTCCCGTGGCCTCGCTGGCGTAGGCATAGCATTGAGTCCTAGGGCAGAACTAGCTCTCTTAGACTGGATCCCAGTAGACAGTCGTTTGTGTGCTGTCCGACTAAACGGAACAGTAAGGACTCGAAAAGATAGGGACACTCGTCGTTGCCTGTTCGTCGTCTCTGCCTACTCTCCCACTGACTGCAGCTCAGATGATGTAAAAGATGAGTTTTACAGGAAGCTTTCCGTCCTTCTCCGAAAAGCTAGGCGTTCAAATGTAGTAATAGTGGCTGGTGACTTTAATGCTCAAGTAGGTAAACTAAGCGAAAAGGAAAGACACCTGGATGGATCTTATGGTTTCGCGGCTCAAAGAACAGAGAATGGCGACCGTCTGTTGCAGCTATGCTCAGATAACCGTCTGTTGCAGCTATGCTCAGATAACCGCCTGTTTCTTGCAAACACTAACTTTAAGCATAAGGAAAAACATCTTTTAACATGGCGACCCCCTAATTCGTCTCAACGCTGGACCCAAATAGATCACATCGCTATCAGCCACCGATGGAGGGGCTCGATAGAAGACTGTCGCTCATTCTGGAGCACATGCTTAGACTCAGATCATGCTCTAGTGCAAGCGCGTATTTGTCTACGTCTTGCTGGACGTAGGAAACATGCTGCAAGGAAACCCCTTAGGGTCCTACTACATGATAGTCAAGCTAAGAGTATATTTCAGGAACATCTAGAAAAACAGTTAGACAGCCATGTAAGTGACGCCCACCCCGAGGCAGCGTGGAATGACATCCGAAAAGCTGTAGAAACAGCAGTGATGTCTGCAAGTAGGGTAAACCATAAAATTAGGGAGAAACACTGGATCTCAGCAGCATCTACCGCACTGATAGGTGCTGGAAAACTCATTCTATCTGGCTCTGAACATAACGAAGAGTGGAGTCAGCTTAAGCGTAAGCTGACTAGAAGCCTACGCATTGATCGTGAACAGTGGTGGATAGCGAAAGCAAGAGAGATGGAAAAGGCAGCGGCAATAGGTAACAGCAGGCAACTGTTCAGACTTGTTAAGGAAACCGGCATTAGGAACCCAACTGTTAGCGAAACAATCGCAGAGAAAGATGGACATGGGATGCAATCTAATTGGTAGTTTCTGTGTGTAGAATACTGCTATATATTATCTTTTATCCTCCAGTACTTTCACACTATGATGTAGAAGCATTGGTAATTATTTGACAAACATGTCAACTAACTTCCAAGAACGTTTACGTGATTAAGACTTACTGGTAGATAACATGAAAAGATGGGGAGTAAGTAGCAAGGCTGACAAGATTGAATTGATTAAATCTTTCGGTTTCAGTTTAGAAAGGACAGAATGCTTAATGGCCTGTGTTAGTCCTGGCAATGGTGGTCTCTCAATTGATCCAACTTTCCTTTGGCAGTCGACGGAAGGAGCCTCAAACACGTGCTGAGGTAACGAACTCCACTCGAATTTGCGTTAGGCGTAACCCGCAGAACAATACCGACCTCCCAGTGATCTTTCTAATATTTGGAAAAAAACAACCGAATCGAAGGGAATCTAGATGATTTCCCAAAAGTCAGTAGAACAATCTAGGGAGTGAGCTGATTAACTGGACGAAAGTGAGCCAGTGTGATTTTGTTATAAAGTGAAAGAAACCTACTAGGACTAGTATTGCAATAACGAGAGCGACAAACGTTTACCTATTTAGGATTCAAAACTTTGGTGTTGTTTTTGGCGTACATATGACAGTACAGGAGTACTGACAGAAGGTATCTTACCAGCACATGACTTAGTCTTCCAGATTTTCTTTAGGAGGATTATGAGGGCGACGAGGTGAGAGAAATCCCCCAATAATCTGAATATGTTCATGCCTTTCTGTACCGAGATGAATGCTACTGCGCGCCACACTCGTGGCCTTCCTCAATAAACAATGTACATCTAAATATGAAACTAGTGAGCGAAAAGTCTTTCAGATCATGAATTTCAGGCATTTTAAATATCTAGATGTCTTTGACACATAAACAGATTGGAATTAGATAGTGAGTTGGACAGTGTCTACAGTCCGACTCTTACTTACTTATGAAACCCATACCTGAGAATGGAAAGTCTAAAACTTCTTCCTTGACTAATTTTTCGTACCAAAGTGGTTTATTTGGTTTGAAATTTTTGTATCGATGTATATATACACATCAAAACTGTTGACGTGCGTAATAAAATTAGTGTCTATGGGCTACTAGCATGCCCCATTTGCGTTAGAAGCTTAAAGCATGCTGCTCCACGGTATCTATTACCGTCCTTAAGGTGATTTACCTGTAGAGCACGAGCGTGAGATCCTTTGTGGATGGACGAAAAGCTGCGGATAACATGAAACAAGTGACGGTTCTTGAGGACGTAATGAGTGATATCATCAAATATCCTCGTATTTGAATAAAACTATCACGTCAAATCGCCGAGACGTAGTATATGATGGAGACATGGATACACAGAAGGCCACAATGAAAGATTTAAAGCTCACGAAAAGGAAGAGGTAGAACATACGAAGCTCCAAATCTTATGTCGCCGAGTACAAACTCAGGACCTTAAATCGACGCAACAAAGACTATACCAGATTCTGATCTGCACAATGTAAAAACTTTTGCTTAGAAACCTAATAAAACCAACTATAAATGGACAGTGACATCCGGAAAATTGAACTAGTAAATTGAAGCTTTTAAACCTTTAACAAACATAACCACCAGCAAGAGAAGAGGTTAATTCTAAGAAATGGAACCTCAGAGCTTACCAAGGCAAACCTCTCAGGAGGATCATTCATGCTTTACAAGCTGAAAGTCTTTCAAAAAATACTAAAAGTCTCGGCTTTAACACATCTGAAGTCACACTTAGTCATTTACGTGTAAGTTGTACATATAAATTTTCACTGTCAAAATTACGGGTAGGAAGATTTCCAAAGTATTGTGTGTGGTACGACAAACGATTTTATGGGACTAAAGGTAGACAACTAAGCAAAGCGACGGAGCTCATGAACATAGTGGATGCAGGAAGCTCTGATGGTGATCATGTCATAAACAAGACTGATGTCGAATGTGTATGATAGTGAACTTCAGCTGTTTGGTTTATTACTTCACAGAACGAACGGAATGAATTATGTATTAAGTGACATCATACTGTATTTGGAAAGTGCTTTAGCGAGCTATTGAAACGGTGGTACGAGACTCAGGGATATGTGGACTGAAGCGGCACCGGCTGAGTTAGTTATGGCAGACAGCAGTCCTTGGTGTTAGCAAGTGGTTTCCTCCTAAACAAAATGAGATCCTCGTCAAACAGACGTAGAAGCCTCAGAGTAGGCGACTTCGGTTCATGATGTATGCTAACTTAAAATATAATCATCAAAAACATTGCTTGATTACAAATCACCGGGAATCAGTTTCTTCATCTTCAGTTCAACACACTAAAAATCCCTATAGCACCCTTCTATCCTGACCTTATTTTTCACACACAGCTGGTGTTGATCGAATAAATCAACTCCTATTTATGAGAGGAATAGCATGAGGCCATCTCATTCAATTTTCTTTCTGCTGTGACTTATCAGGCAAATGCGCCAACCCGTTCTATGAAAAGATAACATGAAGCCGATATGATAATTAGAAGTAATTGAATTATAGTATGAACTAATAATCCCAGGGATAACGCAATTGAATCAAGAAGTACCACACAAGCACTAACGAATGTACTGTATTTAGAATTCGAAATCAAACATTCAACAAGTACAAAGGAGTCATTACTTCATTCACACACCACATCCGCCACAGCTTAAATTAGAGTCTAAGTGTCTGTAATCAATTGTACGTCTTCTCCTCAAGTTCATGCTGTGTCTGTCCGACAATGTATTGGATAAAGACTCTGTATTATCTGGTTGCTGCAATTGTATTTGATCAACATGTCGATTGTGTGTACTTAAGTCATTGATATCTAGAAGTCGCACCATAGATTTCCCGACATTCTTCAGAACGATCCCCGTGGATGGTCGAAGATCATTGCCACGATAATATGTAACTTCTGCAGACTCCAAACATCTCATATTCGACCGAAGAGTTCTTCCTTTTAATAGTTTTGATGGAGTCTCTTTCGTCACCGAATGTCTATATTGCAGTAGAAAGGTATCTACTCCCCTCTCCAGCTCATTAAATGTTGAGGCAGCAATAGAATCAATGGCAGTTTTTAACGTCCTGACAACATTTTCTGCCTGATCATTGGAACAAGGATGTCTGGGAGCAGTAAACAGATGTTTGCACCCTATACCATTTAACCAGGTAGTGACTGCATCTGCAGCAAAATGAGAGCCGTTATCAGTTACTAACACCATTGGAACCCCTTCTCGACTAAACACCTTTCTTAATGCTTGAATTGTGAAGTCAGAATTTGGTGAAGTTGTGAAGAAAACTTCAGGCCACTTTGAAAAAGAATCAATAACTACAAGCGCATAGTATTTGCCAAGAAACGGACCACAATAGTCCGCATGAATTCTCTGCCAGGCCTCAGACGATACTGGCCATGGAGTCCACTTCGAAGGCTGATTTTTCAGCTTATGACACTGTTCACAATTGTTTGCTGTACGACAAATATCTGCATTTATCTCTGGCCACCAACATGTGAGCCTCGCCAATGACTTCATTTTTTCAACACCTAAATGTCCACTATGAAGATCTTCTAGGACAGATTTACGCAATGAAGGAGGAATAACAACACGATCATTTAAACACAAAATACCATCAGGAGTAGTAGATAGCTCATCCCGCTTTGAAAAATAGATAGGAAATCTACGTTTCAAATTAGCATTCCAACCTTTCCGTATAGCATTAATTATACATCCAAAGTATTTACGAGTTTCTCTAATGAGATCTGGACGTTTCACTGGTAAAGGTTGCACTAACAAACAGTCTGAAGTATTTACAGGTTTATCTTGTAATGACTGTCGAGAAATGTAGTCAACATGTTGAATTTGTTTGGCACTCCTGTGCTGAACCGTATAGTCATAAGCACTCAAAGCATTACTCCATCGTTGAACCATAGCAGCTGAGGAACGTGCTAAGGATTTTTCAGGATGATAAATAAACTTTAAAGCCTCATGATCAGTAACAATAGTGAATTTCTTTCCGAATAAATATTTATGAAGTCTTTTAACAGCCCAAAACACAGCTAATGCTTCTCGTTGAGTCTGTGAATAACCTTGTCCAGTAACAGTAATTTTGCGTGAAACACAAATAACTGGTCTACCCTCCTGTTCCAAAACTGCGCCAATACCCACAGGTGATGCATCAGTGATAAGCACAGACTGTACACTATGGGAGTAAGTTCGAAGAACAGCATCACTTTGAAGAAACTTTAGTAGACTACGTAAGCATGACTCTTGTTCCTCACCCCATTTAAATGAATTGGATGTCAAAATATTAAATAAACAATTTGCACGACAAGAAAAATTAGGAATAAAACGGGAATAGTATTGAAGAGCACCCACTAGTGGACGTAGTTCCGTAAGATTTTTTGGAGACGGTGAATTTGTCAGTGGAGATAGTCGTTTCATATCTGGTCTAAAACCATTACCATCAACTAGGTATCCAAGACATTCAAAACTAGATACACTAAATGAACACTAATTTGGATTCACTGTAATATTCTTCTCAATTAAACGACGCAATAAGGCAATAAGTCTCTGGTCATGAACTACCTTGTCAGAACCATGAACAATGAGATCATCTTGATAAAATTCAACACCAACAAGATCACTAACCACCTTATTCATAACTTCCTGAAATATGACTGGAGAACAACTTAGACCAAATGGAAGGAAATTGTATTTGAACAGACCAAAAGGAGTGTTAATTGTCGTCAAAATAGATGAGGATTGATCTAAAGGGATTTGAAGATAAGCATCTTTTAGGTCGACTTTCGAGAACACTTTAGAACCATGAAGTCGATTTAGAATATCTTCAGCCTCTACCGTCGTGCATGTTTGCTTCAACTAATGGGAGTTCAATGTTAATCTATAGCCACCACATATTCCAGGAGTCTTGCCGTCCGATTTCAGTGGCGTAACAATAGGAGTACCCCATGCTGAAGACTGAACCGGTTCAATTATGCCTTTTGCACACAAATCGTTTAATGTTTTATGTACCGCATCTCGAAGACCATAAGGAATTATTCGTCTTTTAAGAAAGACTGGATCATCCTGTACTTGAAGTTGTATATGCTGAATTTTCATGCCTCCACTGCACTTAGCACACGTGGCTATCAAATCTTTAAGTAAAGCATCATTATTTTCTTTAGGAACTAGGAAAGACAGCTCCACTTTATTCCTTTTCAAATTCCTTAAGCCCAGTATTGACAGTCCTGTTTCGCTAACTAAAAATTCACAAGGTATGTACGAAGAATTATCATCTCTTATTAGCAATTCACAACATCCTCGTATAGACAGTCTGTGTCCAGTAATCCCCAATATTGATACCTCAGTGGGTCGTACCACAACATTAGGATCTAAAGATTTCAAGTTCTTGAATGAAATAATGGACTCTATGCTGCCTGTGTCCACAATAAAGTCATGACATGAACCATGAGATGTATATAATCGCTTTTGAATATGAGCATTACCTTTCGAAATGGTAGACAAAGATAAATGATCATTAGGAACAGCTGAATCACCGGGATCTAAATTACAAGATTTAGTACTACTTGAGGCAAAATGAATAGTAGCTTTGCATACTGATTGAATGTGTCCTATCTTACCACATCTAAAACATTTAGCATTACGAAATGCACATGAATTACGAGAATGAAGTTTTCCACATGATAAACATTTGCCAAACTTGGTCTCACCTTTGTGATTTCCTTTGTAATTCCTTGTTGAGATATCTTTCATATTT